AGAAGTGCCTTCATTATGGTACTGTTAGGAAGTTGTAGTAGCCTGGGTCTGGTAATGTGGTGAGGCAGCTTCAATCTGTAAATAAGTAACACTGAGCTCATAACAAATACACTAACAGGTGCAACCCAGTGCTCCTGGGAGTCACTTCAGCACGGTCACCTGCCTGCAGAGATCTTTATGAGGACTGATAAAGTGTATTTATGAATGAAGATTACACTAAATGTAGCTACGTTAGATCTGGATATTTACGTGCCTGTACAGGAGTAAGTGCGTCCATTAGATATATTCTGCTAAAAACATCACCGATCATTAAACTTTAACTTAACGTGGTCTCGGTGTTATTATGTAAAATCTGTTACAATGGAAATAAATACACTATAACTTGTAACGTTACACACGGAGAGGCCCTATTTGAGTCAGTGGGTTACCAGATAACATTTAGCAAGCTGATTTTAAGAGTGGAGAAGAAACCGAGTGAAAGAGTAATGTTACCGGTACCGTTAACGTGAACAGTTAGCTAGCCTACAATAGATCTTTGTTCTCGGATTTCAACTCCTCAGTCACACCGGAGCAAACACCGGTAAATTCACTTGTGTTCACATTTTATAGGCCACAAACGTTAGTGACATTTGGCAGTGAAGGAGAAAAACCCAAGTTCTTGGAAAACGACCATTATCAAACCGTGTCTGTTTAAAAATCTCTTGCTTAGCTACATTTTGACATGACAGCTCCCCTCTGTCATTTTCTCTCTGAAGCTAACCAACGCTAGCTAGCTGCCTAGCTAGAAGCAAGCTAGCCGCTAGCTAGCGGTTTCTGGCATTTCTGGATAAACAGATTCTTGGACGACCGTACCTGTGAAACAAGCTGAAATTAAAGGGAATACTTACCAGTCTGGCCACTGTTTATTTAACCAAGTTCTAGATTTTATTATCTTGGTCTCAAGAAACAGATTGTGCAACAGCTAAAGGTTGTATCCATGGCCCACAGTGGCCACACAAAATGTAGCTGGCTTTCAGATCGGAAAGAGGAGGAACCTTTTCACTGGTGGAGTACACCCCGGAGTCTTTTCAGGGCCGCACTGCCGCTCTCTGTGGTCAGTGCTGCGCGACTTGAGACAGCAGGGTTCATCATCCAGATTGACTTCTGCTCTTCACATTGATTGAAATAATTTCCCATGCGTTACACTTGAATTGGTGTTGTCTTATGGTTATCATGTTTACATTTAAAGCTCCACATTAACCGCTGAACGGTACCCAATAACTTATCCACTCACTACATTCACTGTATTTACCAGTCAAACCAGTTTAATCCACTAGCCTGCATCAATATTACACCTGAGTTACATGCCCTTCACAAAGGAAATTAATTTCTGCATCTCTACTGATATGAATCACTTTTATTGAACACAATCAATGATCCAGTACTAATCACAAGTCTGAAGTCACTAACAGTAAAGACCTGTTCTGTGCTATATGAGTGTTATTTCAGTTATATCAAAGCCACTCATACTTGTTTATCAAAACACCTCAAAAGCTCAAGCTTGAAGAAGAAAAAGACAGTGTAATTCATTTTAATTCATCATGCTGAAAAGAGTGAAGGAAGCGAAGCAGACCAGTTTTGTGGAGCAACTTTTTTTATTTATACAAATACAGCCATTCTACTTCAGAGGGATGAAACGAGAAGAATGTGTAGCTCCAATACCAGGGCGACCGTGCTTGACTGGCTTGTAGGTGATGGAGAACTCGCCCAAGTAGTGACCACACATCTCAGGCTGTGGAAAGGAGGAACATGTTAGTAACAAGATAAATGCCTGAGGTACACTTACAGCTGCATTAAGATAAACATAGAAGCTGTAGACCATAACCTAAAGGTCCGCCAAGAGTCACAGAGCTCTAAAATGGTCAATCTGCGGGGCATAGAGCCACTACAGGGGGGCGTGGATGACCAGGGGGAAAAATATGATTAATGCAGTGAAATTTGAAAATGTCACTAAAATTCCACTTGTATTATTTATGATGGCTTTCACCATCATTAATGATAAAAAATTTGGTGTGGTAGGTTCAAACCTCTTACAGCTTGTGAAGGAGAGCACACCAGAAAGAGTTTGAGAACCACTGATCTACAATTAGAAGCTTTAATTAGTGTCTAATTAGGACCTGGGGGTCAGTGCAGTCTGGCAGTAGCATCAGTTGCCAACACTTCCCCCATTGGCACAAGATTATCTGAAGTGGTTTTTGTCAGCACTTATGCAAAAGCATCCTGCTTTTAGTAACAAATCTGATGTTGCCGCAGGTATACTTTAAAAAAAAGCTCCTACACATTTCAGGTCAAGATTTCATGCTGTGTTTTAGTGCATTTTCTTCTGTGTGGATATTTTCTTCAAGGAGAGTATAACTCAAAGTACGTAGAATTGATGAATTTCACAACAATTCTTTCAGATCTGTCGTTGCATGTCAATGAAGCTGTATTTGAGGTTTCAGTTTTCCAATATTGAGATTTATCTTATTCCCTGTTATTTGCAGCAACTCAGCCATTGTTCTGTATGTCCAACAACTATCGTAACATGTTACTTGGACAAGTCAATGGTCTTGATTTCCCATTTTCTACTGCTGCTTAGCAGGACATTCTTACACTTCAATATAAAACTGTTTAACAGCTTCAGCTTTCTGTTTACTGCCACAACAACTAATGGGAGACATGGAGTTATGACAAACTGCATCAAAATGACTCAAACTGAAGGTATAAGTGCTCCGACTGGATCCACCAAAGAAATATACTCCAACTTTAGTGTGCATTTTTTATTCATGCCTGTGATGTTCTACGTTAGCCCCCCAAAGTCAACTTCAGTTCAAAGTCACACACTCCTTCACTGGAATGTGACCAATGTAATGTTAGGACCTCCAGGAAAGCTGGAGCTCTAAAATGTACTCATATGCTCTCTCTCTCTCTCTCTCTCTCTCACCTGACCAAAAGCACCTCACCTTGATTTCAACCTGGTTGAAAGTCTTGCCGTTGTACACTCCAACCATGGACCCGACCATCTCAGGCAGGATGACCATGTCCCTCAGGTGGGTCTTCACCACCTCTGGTTTCTCCATGGGGGGAGCCTCTTTCTTTGCCTTGCGCAGGCGCTTCAGGAGGGACTGCTGCTTGCGGCGCAGGCCACGGTTCAGCCTCCTCCTCTGGCGGGCGCAGTACAGCTGCATCAGCTGCTCACTGCACAGGGGAAGAGGACAGTGACATTGATGAAGCCCCTGGCCATCTTGAGCAAGTAATGTTGATTTACAAAATGTAGAATAGTACAGAGGCAATTGCTTAAATTTTGACGTTACATTCACTATAATTGGAAGTCATGAATGGTTTCCCAGTTTCAGTGAAACGTCCAGTCAGCGCCTTTAGCTACCTTTATTAAACTTTGACTTAAGCATCTGGATGTCATAATGTGATGGACTCAATAGTTAATACTGTTGTTGGAGCCACAACAGTACATATGGCTGTATGGAAAACTAGGTTTTAAACTATCTATGATGGGCAACATGTCAATTTACAAGCAAATGAAACTGAGAAAACTTAATACAGGAGTTCCAGCCGACCACCACCATACATCATCTGGCACACTTACTAGGACATGTCCAGAAGCTGGTCCAGGTCCACACCTCTGTAGGTGAACTTCCTGAAGGTACGCTTCTTCTTAATCTCGGTATCCGCCTGAAAGAGAGGGACACCATCCCGGGTCAGTGTGTAGCTACTAAATGTTAGCATGTACAGATTGAGCAGGTGTTTCAACGAAGTTGTATTCAATGTCACTAGTACACATATATAGTACAGCGTATTAAACCTCACTCGGGCCACCGGTAACATTAAGAAGACGGATTATATTTGGTTACTGGTACAGACAACGCTGAACCACTGGGTTAGCTTAGCCACAGACGGCCATAGCTGGGGCTAATACAGAGCATATAAACACCGATTTATCTGTACTTCTAAGCGACAATTCTCCACTCAATGATCAGCGAACGTGTGTAACTATCGGATTATATGGCCAGCTATCCTAATCAGTTAATACAGAGATCAGATGCATGTAGATTATAGTTTCAAGCTTCAGGATGGGTAGAACACCTACCATCTTGCCTGAAGTTCCGGGGGAAAAGAACGGACAGAAGTCTCGTTAGGCCTCATATCGCGCGATTTCAGGCAAACATCCGGTGGTGTCTTCCGGCATCAGTGCCCAGTGTGAACAGCAGGTGGGGCCGTTGTACAACAACTCCAGTTTAATAGCTCCAGTGTCTGAACAGTGTCAAGTTTCTTACCAACGTGTCCCTTTCTGATTATCGTTCAATGAATCTCAATGATGCACAGTGTTAGTTCTACATATCAGGAGGAAGAACGAGTTTCCTGTTAACATCTCCACTGAAGAGACACGATTCACAGCATTCACACAGCTGTAAGATATCTCCAATATATTGTAAAAAGCAAAGATTCATTGATTTATGAATTCATAATTATTTTTTTAAGAATACAAATCTGTGTAGCAGACCAACAACAGTAGTGAAATGCTACTTACTTTTACTTTTGTGCTGTTAATATGCAGTACTTGTACTTGTACTGGCATATATTATTTTATATGAATGTTCTCCCGTCCTTTTGCCTTTTCACTTACCTTCCTACCTGCCTCTATGCAGCCTATCTGCATGTGAGCAGAAAAATAAATAAATAACCCTATAAAAACATTTTTCTGTCTTAAGGAAGACTTGCAGTATTATACAATAGTAATGTAGTATTAGTGCAACTTACGGACTATGAACTAGTGTTTCATAACTCTTCCTGTTTTGTTCATCAGATTTGTCATCTCATCAGTTATAATCTTTATTTTATGCTTCCATGCACCTGCTAAGTGATGTTGTAAACAATGCTACACTGCTGCATATTTAGTAAATAACAGCCTCATCCTTTGTGCCAAATAGTACATGAGTCTTTCTACAAAAGAAATCAAAACATGATAATGAATACACATCTTTATTACACCGTATTCACAAAAACACTCAATTACAACATTTTTTTCTCTCCATTGGCATAAAGAATATTCCAGAGGAAAACGTTTAGTCCAATACCAAATGTTGTTCAGAGTTAAAATACTACACAACCCCAAATTGCATAAATAATAATGATCAAATATAATTGTATGATTGGTACGCATTTTCATTCAATATTTAAGAATGATTCACTTTAACATTACTCACTGACAAAAAAAGGATTCCAGTATTCTTGCTTGGAATGTTTAAAACTTCACTTGAGTATTATTTTATCCTCCCCCACCGTCTTTAATCCAAAGAAAACAAACTTAACTCCAGTTGGACTGGTTATGCAAACAATGGAAATATGTCCTCCATTTAAAAAAAAAAAACAAAAACACAAAACCAAAATGAGTGAGCGAAAAGACGAAAAAGGTAAGAGTGGTTTGTTCTAAAAGAAAAGAAAAAAAATCCATTTTGTTTCATCTGCCTGGAAACTGTTTACTACTGTATGTCAAAGACCAATACTGAGGGAATGAAGATACTGAAGTAGTAACAAACACACACAAAAAAAAAAAAATTTACATTCTCATTCACAGGAATTATGTTGTTTATACAGATGATACAGACATTACAGATAAACACAAGCATGGGTGTTTTGTTCAAAACAAGATGCACTTTTAAAAATCTCCCTAATGTTTCACTTTTAGTTTTATGCTGCCCTTAAAAAAAACAATTGAAAAAAAACTAGGGATCTCCCTTAATGAAACTATTGAGTAAGCAATAACTACAAAAAACAAAAAAAAAACAAAGGGAGAGGGACTTTGGCACATTAAAAACATCCCTGGGATAGAAAACTAGCCAAGCCAAAAAGATTGACTTTTGTGGTCACTTTAAATATACATTTTTTTTTTTTTAAAAAGTCACAGAAATACAGTTCATGATATGTGTAACAATGTTTTTGCACAAATAGGGGTAAGAGAACAATTTCATACAATACAAAAAAAAAAGGATATGACCAACAAAAATGGTGCAACATCCTGTGGATATAAAAATAAACCTGCCTTGAGGTTTTCTTGCAGAAGATCCCTCCTTTATGCAACCTCCCTTTCCCTTCCCTCAGCTCCCTCATTTCTAATAATCTGTCCCGTCCTCTTGGTACACCTGCTCCTCTTCCTGGTAACCTTGGTAACCCTCGTCTTGGTAATCTGGGAGGAATTCGCGGCCGACGGCTGCCCCGTTCTGATCGTCTGAAACCTCTCCAGCTTTAGGGCAGTACTTGGCATCATAGATCTGCCGTCCCAGGCCAAAGTTCTGGCCACTCTGGTTGGCTCCCTGGCTGAAGCCCATCTGTAGGGACATGGTGCTGTTGTCACACTTGTCTGTGCCCAGCTTCTGGTCGTAAATGGCACGCCTTGTTCCTGGAGCCGTCATGCCAGCCTGTAGTAGAGGCAGATGGAAAAAGAAAACATTTAATTCTCCTTTTTTCTTTTTAAAAACACTTTATAGGACATTTTATCCCAGTTTTAGGCTTTAAAATGTTCTTAAAGGTTCTAAGTGCTCACTTCACTGAGCCCACATGATTGGCCAAACAGATCAAGTGTCGTTTTTTTCCTAGTAGAGATGGTCCTGTACTACAAAGCAAGTTCTTTTCGTTATCTGACTCCACTAAGCCTAGCAACCACAATCACACAAGGGTGTTATCAACTCATTAAGTCAACCCAGGGTTTCCCAATCCAGCCATGAGCACATTCACATAAAAAGGGACGGTGTTTGCAGGATATGACCAACTGCAAACATGGACAAGTCCACTGGCAGGAGAGCAAAATATTATATTAAATTGATAGGAAGATGTTTAACACATAATCCAGGCCTAAAACAACGGATCTTCTGCAAGAAAAGCTGCCAAATGCAGGAATCTAAGCAACAGTTAATTAACATGTTGCTTAGATATATTCTTACGGCGTGTATGACAATTATTTTCCCCAGCAGGGGTTAAAAAAAAGACTTTGGAGTGCTGCCTCTTGGCCAGGTTATTATAAATAAACATTGGTTTTTAATTGACTCAAATAAAATAAATATTTTTAAAAAATAGGCAAGTAGGCTTACTTTAAATACAAGTACATGGCTTTAGTGCTTCAGTCATCAGTATGCAAAAGCACAATGAAATGGCTTTGACTTGGGGGCCTGAGCTGGCCCTCTGCAATAATACAGGTTGCCCCTTAACAGCATACGGCTCAAGAGGCTTACACAGAAAAGTCAGTCCTTCTGACGAGAATATATCTCTCTTGAGAAAATCTTGAGAGAAAGCCAAAAGTGCTATGCTGGTCTCTGAAAACCCCTTCCTCTTAAGATCAGCGCACTGCTCTACAGGATCTTCTATGAATGTTGATGCATCTTTCCCAGAGAATTACTCGTCAGTAGGCAGTGCTTTTATACATGTTGATCTCTTATTGCAAACAGATAACCAGCAGCGGAGCAGGGTGGGTGTGCAGCACTAGTTGCCATGGCGATGTTCTGGTAAGAAGTGAATCACCGCCATAACCTTGAAAAACCAAAGGTTATTCCGAAGTTGCCTCAACAACTCCAGATCCTGCTTTGCAGTACAGACCTCAGGAATTTACAGCTTTTCTACAAGACTTAACCTGACATTTGTTTACAGCAGCGGAAGGACGTGGCATAAGTGATGCCCTGAGGCTTATTTCCACTGGAGTCCTACTATATTGGATTTATAAGAAGTTGGGAATGTGTTGCAGTACCTGGCTCGCCCCCTTGTTGGTTCCCATTTGGAGGCTGATGGTTGTGTTGTCCATGGGGGGCAGGATTTGACCTTTGGGGTCATATAAGTGCCTCCTGGTGCCATATGCATTCATACCTGCCTGACTGGCACACTTGTTGGTCCCCATCTGCAGTAAAGACAGTAACAGCACAATAAATTGACTTATAGGAGTTGCAAAACATAATGTTGGCAAACAACAAGACAACAGTGGTACAATGTTGCATTGTATTTCTGCATTTTTCATCTCTTCAGCAAGAATGCGACATGACAGTAGGACGACATACTTCAAAGTTTCAGTCAGCAATCTACAATGACTACAGGATCCTCTAAAGACGCTGTAAACAGTAAGTGGTTGGGTAGGTTTTTCACTGTTTAGGGAGCCCTCATATTTACTTGACATATTTCTTGGTGATGGAAACAACAAAACAGAGTGGCTTCAGCGGAAGGGAGAACAATGAGCAGCTCTTACATTTTGACATGAGGTTATGACAGTATGGTTTCACAGTAGTTTCAGTACACGCAGTATCGAGCTCAGCTCTGCAAGCACAAGAAGTGCCTCACCTCCATCAGATCCAGCCAAAGAGATAATATGCTGTAACTTGTTTTCTGGAGTAATCACGTCATGTCAATTTTTTTTTTTTTATATTTAATTTACTTTACAGTCCTCTTCACATTTGATTATTTGCTTTGAGTATCACTGTCAGACTAGTACCAATACTAACTTCAGCTATGTGAGTGCAAATAAAAGGGCAATTGTCTAATTTAAAGTTACAAATAAATGGAGAAGTAGTTCAAGTTTCAGATCTCAAACTGAGCTGCTGCTGACTCTCTTCACATTTTAACCAGCTGTTCAACCAAAAATAACCCCAAAAAACTCGTACTTGCAGGCCGATGACACACTGTCCAGCCTTCATCTTCTCCTCATCAAACATCCTCTCCTGCTTGTCAGCGTACTTCACCCCAATGTCCACTCGAGACTGGCAGCCCTTGGTCTTCGCCTGAGAGAAAAGAGTTTAAAAAAGGTTGTCATGCAGATATATTTTAATATCAAAATACACCAGAAAAAAAGAATAATTTGAGAACAGAGAGGATAGGAAACATCACTCCCAGTACCAGTGTCGGATTTTTAAGACTCACCATGCTAGCGAGAGCGAGCAGCGTTGTCTGGACCTGCGTCATGTTGCCGTTCTCAAACAGATCGTTGGCTTCAAAGATATCATGAGGCTTCAGGCCGTACACCGTGGTGGCCTTGATGAAGTTTGTCAGGTTCTCCAGCTAGAACCACACCAATTTCAAACAAGATTAACAACAATGTGTGTGCAGGATATATGTGATTATGTCTCTGTTTGCTGACCATCTAAGATGTTATTATCGAGGAGATGCAGTCTTACAGCTGTAAAAACATTCAGCCAGTCTTAAATGAAGGGAGTGTGTTTACTGTGACTGGTTACACCTCCAGCAAAGAAACCAGTTTCAGAAAAGGCTCTAAAGCAGTGGCAGTAAAAGAAAGAAGCTCGCAACACTGCCAACATGACCCAGCATGATTCAGTGTACTAACATCTTAACTGGTAGAAAACACTCAGCACAGCACAATACGGCAGCACAGGGAACCATTTGTTAACTATGTACAAAAGCAAATCTCTCACTGCGTGCATCATCACTAGTGTCAATGAACATTAGGTGCTAATTTTGCCGCGCCCTCAACTGGTTAAAAAGCATGTGTCGTCATCTAACTCACCTGATGCCAGTTCAGCGCCGACTTGTTGATCTTTTTCACAGAGCCTGGGGCAAGCTTGTTGATAAGTCTGTGAGAAAAATAACAGAGATATGAGATATAAATATGTAAGTTTTCCAAACCACTGTACAAAAAAAACTGTTAAAAACAGATGATCAAGGCCATCATGGTGCCAGTGTTACAATCTGCGATCTCTGCTTACTCGCACAGAATGACTCCATTCTTCAGGCCTTTCTGGAAGTCAGGCCCGATGGAAGCACCAGTGTTGTCTTCGATCCAGACCCTCAGCTCTTCTTCCTTCTGAGTGTCATACTTCTGTGCGATCTGAATGGGGAGACGGGTCAAAGGTCACGGGTGTTCCACAAGCAACAACAACAGCAAGTAGGTGAAACAGTAAATGCATTCATAGTCTTTTTTGCATGACATTTAAGGTTCAGTGTCTAGGATTTAGTGCCATCTAGCTGTGTAGTTGCAGATTGCAACTCCCTCATTTCACCCTTCCCTTCCAAGTGCAAAAGGACAAACTGCGGTGGTTGCACAACGCGCAACAAATGTAAACACCCCTATCTAGAGAAAGGTGATACACTAATTAAAATATACCTATGAATATTATATTCAATTTCTGCCAATAGATCCTCCTAAATGTGACGCACAGGACCTTTAAGTTTTATAATAGTTTCATAAACCAATCAGTGAACTGCATCTATAACAATGACACCACTGTGGATAATCATAACATGTTAATATTTGTCCTTAAAAGTTTATTATGACTGCATGTAATCATGTTTCATGGTCGCCCCTGAAGTCGACTTTGTCATGTCTACACAGGGGGGTTTGTGTTTTTTAGCCCTCATAAATAAAAGGTGACGCCATCATGGCTTACACACGCGCACACATACGCGCACACACACGGATATCCTGTTCAGTAAACTGCTAAATTCTCCCCTGAAACACAGGAAGGCCATTGCTGAAGAGGGCAGGGGAGGCAGAGTTTTAAGGGGCTCAACACAGCACAAAGATTGACATTGTAGTGAGGGTGTCACTGTCGAGGTGTTACACTGATTTACAAGCTTATTTTTGATTGATGACAGAAGTGTGAAAAGCATGCTTTGCTGGCGCTCAAAGGGGCCATTTAGGAAGAGCGTTGAGGTCACGTAAACAACAGTTATGTCTGCTGTTCGACAAACTGGAAAGCAGAAATGAAAAGAAAACAAAGTCAGTGACTAAAACTGAAACATGTAGCCTATAGAGTTCATCGTCCGGCGATGAATAAAAGGTGTTGAGCGAGCTTCATGCAAACTCACAAACCAGCCAACAATCTGTCTCTGTCCCGAGGGCAATGAGAGACTGAACCGCAGAGCTGAACCTACTATATACATAGAAGTTGGCCGCATTCACCTCACAGCTGGTTGTGCTCTTAAGGAATGTCTGTCTTCTAATTACATTTCCTTCATTCAGTTATCCCTATATTAAAAAACAACACTGGCTATTTTAATTGCCCACAAAGAATCCTACAGATGTAATTTAGAGAGACAAACTAAAGGCAAGCAATTTGACCCAGGGTGGTTGGAGCAGGCAAGAGCTGAATAGAGCAGCGAGGGTGCAGAACTGTGTGTGTTTGATCCAATGAATGAATACAGACTGTGGTGATGCTCAAAAATGTTGCTTTATTGCAGAACTTTGAGTTCACCCTCTAAGCTTTGGAGAAGCTTGCCGGGAAAGATTTTCTACATCAAAAGTAAAGGGGGGAAAAAGTGGGGGTAGCTCTGAGTAGTGCAAATCTTTAAATGCCTCACATTTCACGGTGGAGGCTACGTCACGGGTGGCAGGAAATACCACTCCAGTCAGCATCTCTCTAGCCCCCCCCACCCCTCACCCCTCACCCCTCACCCCTCCCCTCTTCAAGGACATCACTGGCAACAGACAGAGGAAATCTACATGTTTTCTTTATGTCCGGCACATGTTGTTCTGCAGAGATTTGGGGAGGGAACTTGACCCTTTTCCCTCCTATACAAGGGCAGAGCCAAGGAATGCAGAAGGTGAGTTAAAGGAACACACATGCAGAGGGAGCAACGCCGTTACATCTCTGTGGCCGATGAGCTGTGACTTTATTCCATTTAAATGAGAAGAGCAGGCAAGAAAATGATGGGCCGAGGTAAAAGCCTGTAGTATTGCACAGTAACACCCCATTTATGCCATATGTAATAATGAAAAGTGCTCAAGGTTATGCAGCTCAGTGTGATTGTGGTCAGGGCAGTAATCTCCAGCATCACTTCAGGTATTTTAAGTGGATCCGGGTGCACAGACACAGGTCCAAATAAACAGGGTGCCTTACTCATCAAGGCCGCACTCAAAAAGTTACACATTACTAAAGTGGGCTCATTCTGGAGACTGATTCATTTGTGGAACTTCAGCCGACACAGGGACTTTTTTTGCATAGTAAAAACCTTTCCTGCACATGATCTGAGCGAAGGGAGGTTCAATCTAGGGAAGCAGCACGACACCTTACCACAAGGAGGGACGTCGGAAAGTATTCTTGCTATGTCTAAGAAGCAATAAAAAAATAAATAAAAAAAGAGTCAGGGATGGGCAGTAATGGGGATGGATGTCATCCAATCCCGGCACCGATAGAGTGAATTACATTAACTGCTAATGAGGGTCACAACGCCGGGCACCACGCTGCACAGGGAATAGAAAACGCTGGAAACGGGGATAACATTTTTTGCCACAACGACATACTTCTGTGCCAAGAGGGACAACGCCCATAGTCTGTTTTTAAGTTAGTCTACTGCGTGGGAAAATCGATATTCTGCTTTTAGAGGTGTAAAACCGAAAGATATATACTTCGCCAAGTATTCATACTCGGGCGAAGTTTTATTAAAGTTATGTAAAAGTGTGTTTAAGCTTTAAAAAACACTTTTAAAATGAGTCTCCGCAGTTTTTTCATCCAGCTCTGACTACCTTTTAACCTGGGCACGAGTATCAAAATGGAGGCCAGGTGACTCCCACAGTCCCGTTCAGAGAAAAGCACAATGAGTGGATGATGGGAAGTACAGTTCAATGCAACTAACTTTATGAGATATACATATATATATAAAATATGTACACCTACCTTGTTTTTCACCTCCGCTGATAATCCGTAGGCGGGACCTTTGTTAAAGGACATTGTCAGAGTTCTGATTTTTCTGTTTGCGTTAAAAGAAGCACTGACTTGAGGATAAAATCTTTGCTAAATTATCTTCGACTTTCTCTTCCAATGAAAACGGAGTGAACTAAATACTTCCTTTCTCTTTTACGGCCGCCAATTAGAGCGCTCCCACGGTTTCAGCCGAAGAGTTCCGATTCAAGAGTCAAGATAGTTCCCGCCGTTGGTTCCTGGGGGGGAAAATCAATACTCAAGACATCAAGATGTTAAAGTATGCTTGAGTGAAATAGTATTGGAGTATTGGATTACATGCCTCAACAAGGCTGCTGAAAGAACTTAAAGTGGCTTTGTCTAACAAGTGGCACTGATGTATTTATGTCTTTGTTTTGTTCTGTCAGTTTGGGAGGTTTAGCAATCCGGAGGAGGAGACATTCATTCAAAATGTTCACACAATTGGACACAGTCTCTTTACATTTGACTATTTTTGTCCAACAGAATATAAATAAGAACATTTTATTCCTGGCAGTGTTTGTTTGTTTGCATCCTTAAAATTCATAGCGACTATAATGGACTGGTTGCACAGCACACATCTTGACTTGTCACAGCAGAAAAAAACACAAGCAGAGAAAAAGGAACCGTAACGACGGCTCAGTTCCATGAAGTGTCCCAGTAACAGTGACAGTGAACCAGCAAGCAAAACAGCAGCACCACTGAGTGCAATGCAGCAGTCATTAATAAACCTGTGAGTTCTCCTGCCCAAATGTCTGCCGTGCAACCAGTCCATTCACTGTATTAATACAATATGCAAATTATTATTACTTTTATTATTATTTAATTAGGTGCATTGTCATTTATCACATGTGAAAATATGCCCATAGCACCCAGTGGACATATAATGCAGACAGAGAAAGTATAATCAGGGAGCCAGTCCAGAGATGTGATAAATCGCTGCAGAGTTGACACACATTTAGTTCTTCTTATTCAGAGTTACATACTGCCACTGGTAGGCCTTTAAGATATGTTATTATATATATATATATAAAATATATAATATATATATATATATATATATATATATATATATATATATATATATATATAACAGACTTTTTAAGTCAACAATTAATAAAACAACCCATTAACCCGTACAGAATTGTAAATGAGCTTCAGCAGTTACGGAAGCCCTCACACGAGTCCTCTTGCCTCTGCTTATACTCTTTGGTTACCCGCTTCGTTAATCGATCCTAGGCTCCACCTTTCCCCTTCTCTTTGCTTAGGTCGCGATTGAAATCAAAAACTCCTTATATGGAAGGAAACTTCCCAAATTCCTGAATGGTGGGAGTGATCCACCGGTCCCACCCTGCATACCAGACCGCGCAGTGGACCAGACTAATTGTCGCACTTTTTTGAGTCACTGCCGAGAAAAAAAAAGTTTGGAGTTACTGTGAGCTACTGAGGTGACGTAATGTCGGTGCTATGGGGGTTTTAGATAGCAGATCCAACTTCACATGCCAGGATCTCTTAGTCTGCTGCAAAATAATGGCTGATATACAATACATTACTCGGCAGGATCGCTTCCTCGTTTACATATTAACGACCCAGTGTATCATTGATTTCTTTTCTCTCTCTGCTTTCAGTTCCACACGACAGCAAATCTGGTTTATGTGGGGCTTTTTCTGGGGAATTAAAAGCAAAGATGTATTTCCTCTTATGATAACAAGCGTTTTCTCTTTAATGGGGACTTCAGAGCCAGGGGAACATAAGTAACTTATTGGAAACGTCACCTCTTTGTTACTGTTCTAAGTACAATGAACCATTATTGACTGCCCCTCCTAACATGAACATCTGGAGAAATATCAGATAATAAAGAGAGGAATGCATTACAGCTACACCAATATATGTTTTTCAAGGTAGCCTACTTACACACACTGTGTGTTTTGTTGTTTTTCTAGACAAGCCATAATCTAGTTATAGACAATAGGGCTATTGGTAAAGATATTGACTATTGGGTGGTCAGGAAAATGACATTGGCAAGAAGATGAAAAAACTAGTTAAATTAAAAAATTACATTTGTTTCCGCTGGTCTGGTTCCGTGGTGCATTTACTTTTCTAACACTTGGATAAAGTGATTTGTGTTGACGTTTGGTTTCATAATGAGAATGAGGAGCTTCTGACTGCTGAAAATAAATCTAGAATTAAACACATATTACACATCTGTAATGTAATTGTGCTGTTTCATATTACTGCAGCTGAAATGATTAGTCAGTTAACTGTTGATTGACAAAAAAAAAATGGATCTCTTCGGCCATTTAAAGAAGAAAAATGCACATTTGCTCATCCTAGCTCCTCAAATGTGAGATTCTTGGTGATTTCTTTGTCAAAGTTGATGGTAAGTTGAATATCTGGGTTTTGTATTTGTTGGCCAGGTTAAAAAAAAAAGTCAAAAACATCATATAGAGCTATTTTCTGACATCATATAGACAGAACAGTTCATTCACCAGAAGATTAACTGATAATGAAAATAAGGTCAACCAATCACATTAGCAGGTTTCAGAACAGCTTCAGCCTGACGTAGTGTTTTGGTTGAGTTAAAACACCTCATGATACATGCTTGCCTACTCAACACATTCTACGTAGACAAGCAACTAATAATGACATAAGCCCAGGTGTGTCTGGACACAAAAACAGCTGGATCTGAGGGTCTGTGGCGTGTGATTACATCATACAGGTGTGCAGAGGACTGATTCAGAGTCTGAGAGTAAAGCACACCCGAGGGGGCGACAGTTAATCATCCTGATATCTGTGATCAGGGTTACATCAGCTCACTGAGTCATGGTAGGGAGTGACGTAGTTATGACACCCCCTGAGTCTATTACACATGCAGGGACCCATGTGCAATCTCTGTTGGGGCTAATGGTGCTAATAAAAACATCACTTTTGTACACACAAGGCCATTAGAGGCTTCCACTGATGGAGGAGCTAAATCTTGATCATTTTATTTGGGGGAAAAAAAAAAAGAGAGCCATATATTCTTTGTGGGCCGGTCTGATCAATCAACTCCCACTGAACTGGCATTACTTGTACCATGTCACCCTTACATCACATACTGAGGCAGACAAAAGGAGACACATGGACAATGTGCACCCCCACATGGATGAAGTGGGTAAGTACAGCAAAGTACAGCCTAATGCAACTTCCACAGTGAGGCTCAAAATAAAATGCAGAAGTGTACAGAGCTCAGACCAACGACTTAGTTTCAACAGCGCAAACTATTCGAGGATGATGGCAGTCGTCAAACTCAATGGCCCTGTAAAAGACCCACAAGTCAGTCGTCTTAGCTGAAGATTTAGATCATTTTATTTTTCAAACAATTGAGAGATGTTAAACACTGAACAATTAAAGATGCCCCAGTCAAAGCTCCAGAAAACAGATTCTTATTAACCAGTTGTAGCACTTTTCCTTTATTGCCAGCTGTGTTGTTGTGCAGTTTCTCATTGTCTGCAGCGTCACCCTTGCTCGATCAGTGTATACAAAAAGTAACAGAAATGGTGCATATACCAGCGTCGTATTGAGCACGGGATTTGGAATTCTCGCACATGAACCCAGGCTCCACCGACAGGCGTGTTTTGTGCGGAAGCAAATCCAGATTTACCATTTTACCAAGGCACATTGGTAGGGATGAATGACTGAAAGAATGTATGGACAGAGAGGCTGCACAGAAGCCAATCTTAACTTAAATCATGTGAGAAAAAAAGTGGTTTTGACTGATGAGTATAAAGGGAAAAATCAAAATTAAGTAGACGTTGTCATATGGAAAATGCCAAGAATATCTGATGCACGCAGCTTTCTCCCTCTCCCTTTTATGTTTGTTGAATTTAAACATAGAACCGAAAGAAAATGCTACCTCAAAAGGCATCCTAAACGTTTTATGAACTCTCAAAAGCAGCAGCTTAACGTGTAATGTGTCTGAAACTCTGAATAAACATGAACTGTGGGACCATCAGTCACTATTCACACTTGAATCAAGTGAGTGATGAAATGACCAACAAGTTATTAACTGGAGGTCTCAATCCTGTACATTCAACTAAGGCTGTTAAACTCAGAAAAAGCTTGTGAAGGAATTGCAGACTGCAAACAATATCTAAAGGAATGGAAACAAAGTAAGTCCCAGCATTCAAACCGGTCCTTGTTTCAATCTCTAAAAATGCAATTATGGATCAGCACCATCTGATTTGACATTCTTTAATATTTTAAGCTTGGGAGAGAGTTTTTGATTTTAGTCGAATTTATTTTAAATGATCACCTCACTATTTTGATGAACCCAAGGGATCTTTCAGAATAAAATGTCCTCTTGGGAGTTGAGATGGTATGGACATATAGGAACTGTGTGATGCGACAGAGAGTGTGAAAGTGTGTGATGGGTGGGATATGGAATGTTAAATGACCAAATGCACTGACCAATCTTAAAGAAAGACCCTGCAAACGAACCGTCTGTACGCCCCTTTAACATTGAAGATTAGGCTGACAACATTATGATGCAAACAGAAAAAGAAAAAAAAAAAAAAAAACAGATATAAGTTTCTGAACGTCTTTGGATGAACGTCCCATAAATGAACTGGTCAAAATAAATAGATGTATAACGTTACATGATAAGAAATTTATAATTTACTCTTTATATCTCACATAAAGCTTCTTGTAACTGCCAAATATGCTCCAGTATTTCATACTCCGGACATGTTCAGCCCTACCTGCGCTAGATGAACTCTATCAACATCTTCCTGGGCACCAACATGGCAGTCCCAACAGGACAGCTAAACCCCAGCCTTCCCTCAAATTTAACCCTAGATTGTAATTCCTCATTAGAAAAATAGAAGGCTGAAGAGAAAACAATATCATCCAAGTAAGACTGAAATAGAGGTAGGATTCAGAAAATCAAAAAATTCACATCATAACTCTATTTACGGTCATCTGGGACAATTCTGTCCTCTCTTTCTTGCCATCAGTGTTAGTAGCAGCATTCTGCAACTAGGGCCTCATCATTCCTGTGACTTTCAGTTTGAAAAATAAAACAGAAACAGCCCTTGGTATTACAAACTCAACTATTCTTTTAATCTTTACTCCTTTTATACCAAAATCTCAAAAGATTATCACAGAAAGAGAAAGAGGCACAGGGTGGGGGTTTAGCAGGCCTGGCTTTTGCCAAACTCACAGTGGACAAACAAAATCACAAAGTATCTCGTCTCTGTGGAGAGACAAAGAAAGGAGTGGAAAAGGACAGAAACCTTCCCAAACCCCTCAGTCTAGGCAAACGTATGGCAGGATGTTCAATTTGCTTTCATCCCCGTGAGGGTCCAATGATATGCACTCTGTCCAATCATACCAGGTGCCCTTGGTGTCATAACAACCGTTAACCCCGGGCCAGTGCTGTGTATGTATCCTGCCGAGGTCCTCGTCCGTCACCTCCCGGCTCAAGCCCGGTAAATCCCCTACTGAGCTGTCCGTCTGCAGAACATGTATCTTCCGTGAGTCCTTGATCTCCTGTTCTTCCCTTTTCAGATACTCTGACATGAAAAAGTGTGCACTAGGGGCCTGGACCCCTGAGGAGGTGAGCACATTGCTCTGAAGGTTCAAGTAGGACTGGATGATTTCATTTCTGGACAGCTCCTTCCAGTTCGTTTGATGAAAAGGGTTAGGGCCAGTACCTGGGGCTGGGGCTGAGGCTGAGGCTGAGGCTGGGGCGGGAGCTGGAACTGCAGCTGGAACTGGAGCTGGAACTGGAGCTGGAACTGGAGCTGGAACGGGCCGTTGTACAGTGCTTTCAGTTCTCTGTCTAGACTCAACAGGGTCAGGAGTGGGGGCTTCCTCTGTTTGAGAAGGTTCTTTATGTACCAGAGGTTTTATCTGGCCTGTGACAGGGTCAAATGTTAGTCTGCGCTCTTTTAACCGTACAGGCTTAGTCGTGTCCTCTACTTTCTGGCCGTCTAAGTTGACAGCGTAGTCTCTTGATCTGTACTTCCTCCTTTTATGTTCTGAGTTAGGGACCGTCGTCCCATCTGTGTCATCTGACACAGATATGGCTCCCTCGGATGTCGGTCTGTGTAGTTCTGAGTTGTGTTGGAGGTGAGAAGGTGAAAGGGAGACTGATGGGGAATCCAGTGTTACAGATATGTCTTGTGGTGGGCAATGAGAGGGGACTTCTGATGAACTAGCCCAGTGCATTGAAGATCTATGAGAAGAATGTGGCAGCTTGTCAGCGTACAGTGCTTGGGCAGGGGAGGATATGGGCTGGGGCAAAGACAAGGGGGAGTTCCTAGATGAAGGGCTTGGGATAGGTGTTGCTTTCGGCACATATGCTGAAGAGCGCTTGGTCACTGTGTCTTGCTTCATGCTCCTAGGACTTGTAGTGAGCCCACGGGGACTTTTGGCTTGATAATACCCCCCTCCTCCTCCTCCTCCTCCTCCTCCTTCATCCAATCTGGCCTGTTGTTGCATCACAGCAACCTTGATCATAGAGGAAGTGCTAGGTAGTTTGGCCACTCCTGGGGAGCTGGGGCGAGGCTTGACAGCGTTAACCGGAATTCTGTTGATTTTATCATTATCAAGGTGCTCTATCCGAGATCTGTCAGGAGAAGGGACGACTTGTTGGTCAGGCGGGGCATCAGGACTGCCTGCAATCCCATTGGTGGGTGGTGGTGAAACAGAATTATCACATGAAGACATCTTGGAGATTTTTTCTGGTAAGTGCACTCCACTGTCTCTGTGCTCTGCTCGCCGTTTGCGGCTGCCTGATTTCTCCGCTTTTGGTGAGTATGTGTTGTGAACATCGTTTCTGATTTTGACTTCAGGGGCACCCTTCCCTGGCAGAGTAATGTCAGGAGGAGATGCCTCTGTTCTGCAGGGATGAGAACTGCCATTGGTGGACCCAGGGGCACTCGCAGCCACAGCGGGTCCAGGTTCAATCAGCTTTTGCCAGGTCCTTAAGAGTTTCTTAGCACGCTTGGCAAGGTCTTCATCCTTTGTCTTCTTCCTCACATCATTGATCAATTTTCCGAGTCGAGTTTCCTGAATAAATAATGTGTGTGAAAGTTAGAAACAAGTTCAAGCAAGCAATACAATTTCTTTCTAGTAGTAGTTCACATTTAGTCAACCACCTTACCTCAAGTGCTTCTTTGGTGATAGGATACTTTTCAAGACAGGAAATTACCTCCAGTACAGCCACCATATTGCATATCTGCAGGGAGGACACAAACATTTTGAATTGCTTCATCTGTACTGTTGTTCACACAAAGCTAATATTTAACATTAGCCTAAAATCATCATTAACAGAGGAATCAACTGTTAAATGAGAATTTTAATCACACAATCTTGATATACAAGAAGAAAATCGAGTAACTGATACTCACATGATTAACCAAGTCTCCTACATTAATGTGATGGCTAGAAACCCTCCAGGCTTTGGGAAAAGCTACTGAATCATGCCTGCAACGTGTGTGAGTATGGGGGCAAGTTAGCTTATAAGTTAGCTTAGGAAACATTAGCTTGTCTGCTTCAGATCGACGTTGAAAAGTAAAGATGGCCAAGTGTCAACTCAAAAAACCATCATCATTGCAAACGTTTGGCAACAGTGAAGCACCAGAGCCAAAACTAGGAGCCACAAGGTGATAAAGTTTAATTTGAGCGACTTTCTAATCCTGCGGAGAAAGTCAACCAGCGTTTGAGTGTCGGCAGACTTACCTGTGTTAGCTGATCTGGCTATCGCTAGCGTTTGACTAACTTGAGACAGGCTCCGACTATTTCCTAAAACGTAATTAGCGACTCAAGCTAACAGTGAGCTAACAGCTACCTCCCACACTTCGGTAACAATTGTTAGCGTGAAACGGGCTACAGCGAAACCGTGAGCGATTCGCAGAGCATGCTGTTCATTTCATAGTAAAATGGGTATTTCCGCGACACATGTTTGTATTTTATACCTTCTAGACGTTAAACACGGTAAACCCGCTTCGGGCTAGGCTAGCAGCTAGCATGCTACATAAACCAGCCAAGGCTAGATGCCTAACCCAGGTAGCGCTTCTGCTAAGCTAGCTTGCAAGCTGTCAAATCCACAGCTCAGCGTCTCTCCACTCTCCGCAGTCGTTTGACATGTCGGTGACAAGCCACATCGTACACCACGCTCTAAAACATCTCACTAACACAGCTACTTGTGACAGCTGCTGGGTGAATTGCCTTGTCGAGTTTGCCGGAGTGCAGGTAAACAAGCTAACTGTTAGCCACCTAGCCTGCTAGCTCTACTCACATTGCTCTGACTGTCGATGGCCTGCAGCAGCCGGTCCCTCATCTGCAGCGGAGTTGCTGAGACCGTTGTCATTGCCTGTTCGGTGCGATCCGGAGGATGGAGGGAGGAATCCTCCAAAATGTAAACCGGGTGACAATGATGAGTCAAAGGCCGGTGCGGTAACACGTCAGGCGTCCGAACAGCATATTTTTCTGTCGCCTGCAAGATAGACGGCTCAGTTTATCTCACATGGAGTAGGAAATGTGTGCGCTGTGTTGACCGTCGGCTGCTGCCTGCTCGGCGCTCTAGCAACTCACTACCAGCTGCTGGATCTCTCAACGGCCTCCTGCTGCATGCTGGGATACGATGTATGCGCTTTGACGTGTGCACGTAGCCAAGTAAACATCCCTGGCGTCCACCTACACTGCTGGGTATACCCATGGATGAACAGTATTAAAGGTGTACCTCACTGGTTTTTATTCTTGTAATTGTAATTTGAAGAAATGTTGGGGCTGAAACCAAATATTATTTTAATTATTAATTGTTTTTATTATTATTGAATTATCATTTAGTCAATAAAATGTAATGTGTGATGGGAGAGGTCCATCCAGATCCCAAGGTGATGTATTCAGATACTTGTTTTGTCTGACCAAGAGTCTAAAACCAAAAGATCTTAAATGACAAAAGTAGAGAGAAGCCAGAACCAGATCATGTTGCCAAACTCAAGGGAAGTCCAAAAGATCACTCATTTTTCCATAATCTGTCAGTTAGAGGCCTACAGGTTTTACTTTCCTTCCTTCTACTTGAGAAAATCATTTAAAAAATTGAGTTATTGTCAGTTTTTAGACCAATTTAGGCTTATTTTTTTATTTTTAATCCATTATTAGCCTATATCAGTAACCAACTGACCCCACACACAGCCTCTCTCAGCAGTCATACATCCCTGTTACATTTAGAACATCAACAGTGGTCACTGTTGACGTAGACATTCAAATAAATGCTTGACAAGGACATGTTTACCACAATGTATTAGTTATCATGAACAATGAGTGTTAGTGACTTTAGCTTGCAGCACTCCACCAGCAGATGGAGTTGTGCAGTTTCTAAAAGACTAAACAGAGCTTGTCACTGGTACAGGAGGAGGTCGAGCACAGATCGATTAAGTCAGGATGCTGCATCACTGGACCAGATTGATTGTAAGACACTCTTGAGCCATTTGAGGGCAACAGTGATGGTGAAGCTAAGGAACCTTTAAATTCGAGCCACCGAAATGCAGTTGGATTATGACTGCTGCGGGGATTCTGTACGGGGATCAGTACTTTTTTGCGCTTGAATGCCAAACGTAAATTCTCTTAATTTAGAGCCTTTAGAGAATTTAGTTATTAAGTTTTCAAGTGGCTAAATATCTACAAACAAAATCAAAATGTTTCATATTGTTTGGTAATTTAATTTAATACATTGTTTATATTAGTATTGGTATTAGGGAAGCAAAAATGAGAGTTGTAATTAAATAGTCTCAAACTAACTTCTTCACTACCAATAAATGATAACCTTTACACATAATCATTACAATTGGGGTCATTACAATTACAACCAGGTGTAGAAAAGACAGAAATCTTACTACCAGTCATCTTGGTCCGTACTTTTGTTATACCAATCCCACGGACAAAATGTCCAGTGGCAACTCATTAAAATGGTTAGTGTGGACAGAGTGGGAGAGGAAGGGCAAATGCTGGTCGTGAAGCTGTGGAGTGGGTGAGAAAGTCTAAGTTAATGCCAGTTATGGGGGCTGTAATCATCATGTAATTCCTGTTTTAGTCCATTGTGTTCTAGTGCCTTTTGTATTCCACCTAATGACAAAAATAAGACAATGTAAGAAATGTCCTTGCTTATTCAGATATATTTATTTTCATTTCATTTACAAATAATAATGCAAAGATACAAAGACAGAAGCCTTCACACAAGTAAAATACATCAGGTACAGTTCAAACAGAAGCGTATTCCATCTTTAATGTAGCACACATTTACAGCCAACTTGGATTCTTTTGGTCCGATTTGACAGTTAAAATAGAAAACACACAATTTGAAGAACAAGGTTTGAATCATAATTTTTAAAGGGTTAGCTCAAAAAAGTAACAACTTGCCAAGCTGTGCTGCAGGATGCTAGATTTTGCATATTCTATGAGCATAATGTTTCCTGTTGCTGTGAGTGTACTATAGGAGCATAGTGCACCCCTTCACGGCAGTAGAATGCATGTACAGTGTTTAGTATCACTGTACTCAGAAACAAAATACATTATATAACAATTTAGCTGCCATTGTATGAGGCTTGAACCAGCAGTGGTTCCTCAAAATGCACAAAAAGGATTCATAGATGTTTGTGGGTAACCCACTGAGTGACTGTACACGCCTATGACTCCGTTTCACCTTCCTGATTCAGTTTTTGTTTTAATATGTTGCGTCACAAAGTCAATCTACATATATCTATATATATAGCCTGACTGTACAGTATTTGTATCTGCTATTTCTTATGTTATTTCTTACTGTATGTATATGTTATTTCTCAGACAAGATGTATATAGTAATACCCACTACAAAATAGTGTAGAGATTTATAAAACATAGGCAAAACTAAATACTTAATTTAAAGCAAAAAAACCAACATGTCAAGGTATTTTCTGAGATATTTTGAAATTCAGCATCATGCAGAAAAGAGACTTCTCAGGTAGTGGACTGGATATATGAGTCGCATCTCTTTCAAGTTATGCTGCAAGAATTACTTTCAATGTAAACAATGCATTGATGAGTTCATAGTTTATATGAGAAGTAATTTGTACCCCAATAAAGTATTATAGTATATAACAAAGGGAGAGGATGTGTTTCAACAGTTAGAAGGATAAAATGTCTAAGTATTCTTTCATTTATGGCTGTTTTGAACTTTGGCTTTTTGGTTCAACCATTGATATAACACTAAAAGAAAGAGAAGATACAGTGCTGATGACAAATTTACTGTAAAACTAAATTCAGTAAAAACCCAACTTCTGATGACATGTAGCTGCTCATGGCAAGTACACAGAAAGGGGAATTTCCGCAGAATAAAAGTCTATAGATTAGTAAAAAGTGCTTTAAGGACCTTGAAATGCATAATGCATAATTCATTCATATAACTTTAAAAGCTCATCAAATAGAATATATATTGTTATTGTCATAATGTTGAAATTATTGTCATACAATTCAAATAACATTACTGATTCACTGTTAAATTCAGAATCAGAATCAGACATACTTTAATAATCCCAGGGGGAACATGGCAAAATCATTTTGCTATTCTACACTGCAAGTGGTTCATATTTAGTCTGTTATTCTAGATACGGTATCTAACAAAGTTGAAACATATTTGAGAGAGAAAAACAAACATTGCTCTGTTGTAAACTCTTGTCTCTGTAAACACTGGTATAACACCAATGGATACCTGAACATTGATGCATAAAAAGGTGGCAGTAACAGGCGACACGTCAGTCAGAGCTATCTACATGAGCACAAGAAAGTTCAAAGAAACACCAAAACAGAAAATGGACCTACAAAGATGTCAGGCTCACTATAAAGTCTGAGGTCCAGCAGAGAATATAGAGCCACAATGACATATTGCAGCACAGTATTTCTCAGTGCATTTTCTCACTTTGACATCATATCACATAAAGCACGAAAAACATTGTTCCTACCATACAGCAATATACAAAGCTAGGCTAGATTTACCATGACATAATCGAACTCTGTGGGGGGTTGCACAGAAAATAAGCACATACCGTATATTGCAGTGTAAAACATAGTACCAAACAACAGCTTCTACATGTGCATAAAAGGCAGATTACCATATTTCTGATGCTTTTAGGCTTCACTTAGCAGATACACAGCCTACACATGACGCTGAAGTAAAAAGAGACAAAGGACAATTTCACCAAACGAGAAAAACAAAACAGACAAACAAAGCCCCACCTTTCAAATAAAAGAAAAACCCCTAGCCATAAAACATGTCCAGAGATTCATGCAGTCACAACATTGTTAAAATAGAAAAAAAAAAAAAAACTGCATCAAAACTCAGAAACATGAAAACAACTCAAAACAACAGTATTTTCAAAAAAAGGAAGAAAAAAAAAACAATCTTCAAGCTCAACAACTTAATTCCAACTGATTGGATAACATTTGTCAGAACAGTTTTGATTTACATTATGTGGGAATAATGGTGAAATATGCTGGCACAGGAGGACCTTGACACACATCAACAGACACAATGTTGCAGCTACAGAATAGCCTTTTTTCATAGTGTGGAATATATTGATGGGAAATGACGATATAGTGTCCTAGAAATGAACCCATATTCTTTTTATGGGCATTTTGACAATAATTACATCTGGACTGAATTACAATATGAATTCCACAAAATACTTTTCAGGGATTGGTTGATCCCATCTGGCAAAATATTGTGATAATATGCCCTGCAAACTTTAAATGTACTCATCTGAGAAATCCCATTATATTGTACCTGTATCTGTAACTATTTTAATAATAAACTTTTAATTTGTTAATCAGTGATTAATTATACACATTTTTTTAGTTTAGAGCTGCAGCACGGGAACATGGCCGACACACCTCTGATCACCACTGTCCCAAAATGCAAATGTTTTCCTAAATTTAGGAAAAACTGTGTAACAGTTGACAGCTAACAAGGTACTCACGATTAAGTAAAAACAGCTCTGTTAAATAGACTATCTGTATATGACTTTTCAAAAATAACTATAATTTAATTTAGCTTTTTTTCATTTTTATTTTTTATTTTTTTTACAAGAAGGCAAGTTTAATTAAAGACAGGGCACACAGGTCCAGTGCACATAACAGTCACAGGGGGGGTTTGGTATATAAACTCTCAGAAATCAGTGTTTAAAATTAATGCATAAAGTGCAATATGAGATATGGGACACGGTTATGAATGAATGAATCCAATGTATTCACTAACCAAGAAACACACTGACTTTACAGAGGTTTTTTTTTTTTTAAAGAGCAAATGTTTGAAGCTAGTATAAATGCAGAACCAAAGACCGGAGAGACATGAAACACACCGATAAATGGCACAAACAACACGAGCTTGACGAGGAAACGGATATTCAGTGTCACTGTAGTGCCAAGGAAAAAGTCATAATATATAAAACTTAAAACAGTATTCAACGTCTCCTTTTCAGGGAGAAAAATAACAGGTGAAATATATTTGGTCCTACAGTACATAAAGGCTAGATATGAGAGGCAATGAGGATGACAAGATGGCAACAACACAACTGTACA